TTATTGTGGGAAAGTGCAAACCACGAAACCTACACCATGAATAGTAACACTTCTTCCCCCAGTTATTCTAGGTTGAATAGCTTTTAAACTATTCTTGAATGTGGAAAAAAACCCAATCAGTTGAACCAGATGCTTACTTATTCTTATCTATTTTAGAGAACTAATTATCCCTGTTGTTGGTAGTGCTAAAGCTTACAAAATTGCTTCCATCTTTGAATTACTATAATTAAGACAATAACTTCCACATCTAGTTAACATTGCTGTGCAGCTGGTGCATTCATTGACATGCAGATTTTGGATTTTGTAAATTTTCTGCCATTGTAAATAAAAATTTTAAATACTTATTTTCATTTCCAAAATGTCTGTTTCTCATAAAGAAGTCTTTGTAAATCAAATCAACTGAAACCAAACTCCTGTAGCATCAGAGGAGAATCTAGTTAAATTTGGGTAGGTGACAGTACATTTTAGGAGAATATGTAACCACTGATATCTTTTGTAGGTATGATCACTCTGACTTTTGGATCCCATTTTGTAGGGATTAGGGCTCACTAAATTAAATGTCTAAACCGGAACAAGTCTGATATTGGACTTCTGAAATGTTATTTTGAAAGCAGCTATTAGTTAATGCAGGAGTTAATCTGGCACTCTGACAACCTGAAGTTGTTTACAGAACTAAAACTCTATAATTAAAAATCACTGATATGAATAAAATACATCAATGTTTACTAACCAAAATGTGATTTAAACTATACTTTTACTGTACGTCTTTCCACTTCAGGTTGATTTCTATCAAAATGGGAAGACTTGTGCAATCGGTGCTAATCTTGTTTACTTTCATATTCAGCAGAAATTTTTCAAGGCCTGTAAATTTAGATAGATTTTGAGAAACTTCCTTATCATTATTAATTTCTAATAACCAGCAACACTATGAAATTACTTGGTAGTGGTGTTTGGTTATTTATTTATTAACAGTTTTTCTGTGGCCCTTGCTTTCACTACATGAATGCCTCATGGATGTTAATCAGTTTTGCTCAGTGCGTTAGAGATGTCCCCCGAGTAAACTACTAACATAAAGAATCAAGTATTGATTCATGCTGAAACTGAAGCATTGATTTCTTTTCCAGACTGAAAATGCATCTGAAACGAGGTGTGCTAATGGTGCTCGTTTAGAGGCTTGACATCACCTGTCTGTTGGAGCACAGGAGAAGGTTTCTTAGGGTGTAGTTGGAGAGCACCCGGGCTGCGAGCAGCTCGCAGGTACGCTACCCAATGTCCTCATAAATAACGCTGGCCAAGGGTGCTGGCTCCAGGGCACATTGCAGTGGGTCCAAAACCAGTGTCCAGTTACCAGACCCACGCCCGATGTCCTGCAGTGTTCAGTTTCAAGAATGCGCTGGGAATGCTTCAGTACACGCAACAAATGTTATTTTTACTGCAGGCAGAGAAGTTAACTCCAGAAATAGTAAAAGCACAATTTCTGTAGTGATGGCAAAGGAATTGTTTCAAATATTTCCACATAAACTCTGCATTTTGCCGTGCACGTTCAGAATTGAATCAAGTTGCCCTCGTGCTCTAGCCGTTTTCTAGCCTTGGGTCTGGCAGCGTGGCTGCGCGGCCCCGGTGGCATGGGAGGGCAGGGGGTGGCAGCAGGGGTATTTTGGCATTGACAGCCCTCCAAAGCACGCTGCTGACTGGAGTTCGACCCTGCAGCTCCGGGTGGTACAGAAACTCTGCAATGTTAAGATCGTATTTTGCCTAAACTGGAAGACCTGGAGAGAGTTTGTTCTCTAAAGTTATGAAGTGGGATCTGAGGAAAAAAAAAAGGTTAACGAGACCCATACCAAATTGTGGGAGGAAAGGAGGGTCAGGGTCAGGCTCGCCTTGTGTTTAATAAAAATAGCAAGACTTTGGCTTATAAACAAATAGTAATGCTGGGAATCTCTCTGGACTGGTTAAGAACTTTATTTTTTTCTAGTTAAAATACTCAGAGATGTATAGGTAACCTTTTCCCTTTTTACTTTCTCTGTTTAGTCCTGTTTCCTTATATAGACTGAATTATTTTTAGGGAAAAGAAATGTTTAGTATTGTTTGGAGAATTTGTGAACAATCATAAACAATAATACCAATACAACTTAAAAAATTAGTAATATGGTCTCCTCATTATCATTGGCCTTACAGCTTAATATATTGAGCCCAGTGCCATCTCTCTGGCTGAAGCGCATCTTCCAGGAAATAATTTTTTCTTAATTTGAACTGTTTCTGCCAACACTTAAATTGACTAGTTTGAATTTCTTTGGAACAAAGCTCTGGTTAAAGCCAGCTTTGCTTCTTTCATATTTAGCTGCTGTTCTTTAGAAAGTGCTCAAATGCTGTTGTAGTGACTTCTTGGGGAAGGTCGTCCAACTGAAGTCTTCATGTTACCCTCTCACTTCCCCCTTTTTTTGTATTTTTTTGACTACCAAAACGTCATCACTCATGTTGTGTAGTTTCTCTGGGATTCCGAGATCTATTAAAAGTTTTGTATGTATATCCAGAGAGCTCTCTTCAGCCAGGAGGGAATATGATTGTATTCGTCTGTATAGTTTTCTCATCGTACAACATGAATTCGAGAAATTAGAAATTCTGGTTTTATCCTCTGTGTTTAAGCTTTGCCTTATTGCCAACACACATGGTTCATAGAAATGGCAATACAGACCTAAGTGATGTTCCCTCTTCCCAGATTAGCGATCCAGGGAAATTGAAAGTTATCCAATTTTGAGGGTGTAAAGAGAATAATGTTTTATTCCTAACTTGGGGCTAGGCTTTCACTCCAAGCCATTCTCTCCTCTGTGTACACTTGTGTAAACCTGACCTATTTTAATAGGTCTCAGCTGTGCTTGGTCTCCAGCCACTTAAGCCTTTCTCTTTTGGTTCCTCATCTTTGCAAACACAGAAGAGAAAATGGGTTTGTAGAACTTGGTTCAATTTGGCAAACGTGGGCAAGCCGTTAAAAAGCTCCAAGTTTGGGACAGTTCATGTTCCCCATTATGCTGTGCTTTAAATATACCAAATTTCCACAGCCAGCTCCAGGCATTGCTGTGGTAAAGTGTATTTTAGGAACATGACCACAGAGGATGGAGCTCTGTTTTCTCATTGTACTAGTGTTTTATATTGAGCAAGATCTGAAATTCGTACATTATAATTTGTATTAAAATACCCAAGATTTTTTGATTTCTTACATAGTATTAGAATACTCAGGACTTCCATGTTGCAAGAAAGATTTTCTAGTAATTTAAACATAATGGTTATCTGATATTAATGTTGGAATTGAGTATTCTGTTTTTGTCAACGGTTACTGGAATAGAGTAACTGAGAACATATTAAAAAAAAAAAAATCCATGAACCGAGATTTTAAGCTTCTTAAAATCAGGCTGATGTTTTTTCCATACAATGTACACAATGGCAATCAGTTTTTGGATGGACTGTTGTTGAATAATACATGAATGTAAATGGAGATTGTATGGAATCAGTTGGATAATTTTGAGGAATGCTTTAAGTACACTAAAGAGCCTGAATAGCAGTTAATGGTGCTTCAACTTTATTACTGTTTATTATAGTTGGCAGTTCAGTTGTATTTTTTTCTGCATCGAGTTCTCTAGTTTCCTATAGAACAGCAATAAAAAAGCTTACAAATAATAATAGTCAGATACACTGTATCCTGTGGCAGCAAAATAGTTTTGCATTAAATTGTAGTTCTTGGCAGTCTGAGTGTGTTTATTGCTGGGCAACCTCAGAAGATCGGCTGGTGCAGGAAGGACCGAGGCAGACATCAGCATCCAGAGCTGTGCAAGCAGACGGGCTCTGGAGCTCATGGAGCTTTGCAGGACGGTGGAGCTGGGCCAGTTAGCTCCTTGTTCAGCCTCTGCTCAGCCTCCCCTCTCCCGTCTATTCTCCCACCCCCTATCAAGACCAATATGATTTTAGTTACCTGTTTTGAGAACTGCTGAAGTAAGCAGAAATGTTTCTGCCATCTAGAGAGCAAGTTAGAGGTACAATGAAGAAGTGTACGTAGCTTTAATACTTGGTTGTGAGATTTTGCCAGGAGCTTGGACTGTTTATTCTGTTCAAAAAAACAGGAAAAGTAGCCATCAGAAAGTGATTTAAATATCTAGTAGTTGTTCTTGTTCACAGCTCCCATGATTTAAAAATGTTTCCCTTGCCCATTACAATTACTTTTATCATCTGTAGAGCTAAGTATTTGGTACTAGCGATCACAGGCTGGGAAGCACATGGTGGAACACATCGTTCTCTTCTTTTGGCAAGTTCTGAAACTCCAGTGGGGAAGAAATAAATCTGAGCTGCCTCATACAGAGGTGTCGCGTGCTTTGCTGGAGCAAAGTCGTGGCACTGGGTGAAGCTGATTCAGCAGAGGGCTTGTCTGAGACTTGCTTTGCAGAGTTTGCTATCGGTATTGCCACACATGTTCGCAAAGATTCTTGAATCTTGGGTTTTAAGTTTTATTAGTAATCCTGCTCATCTGCTGAATTGTGTTAACGCTTTGCTTCATAATTTCAACACTGCCCTAAGGAATATACTCGTTTTTCACAGTAATAGCCAATAATTGTAACAGATTTATTTGCTAGGTCATATATCGGTAAGAATATCTGAAACACTCTGGGGTATTTTACAGTTTTCTGCTTGTTGTGTGATTTGTGAAGCATGAGTTGCAGATATTTTGTGAATCAGGAATGTATTGTAAGCTATCTCTAGTGGCCTGTGCAGCATGAGATACAGGTTTTTATATTGCTGCCAGTGTATTAAAACACTTGTTGCTCACAAAGTACCTTTCGGCCCTGTGTGTTGACTTCTTTGCAGGGTCACTACAGAGATTGAGAACGTGAGGAAATACCCACCTAAATACTGAGAGATTCCTCCCTAGCTGAAAGACATTCTGCAGGACCTGCCTTCAGGTGCTCTTGTTCATCTGCCCATGCCTTATCGTTTCTCTCTCTTTCTTTCAGCTGTCGGACGAGCAACAGAAAGAGTTTGATTGTAACATCCAGCACATCTCCAACTCTCCCGCGCCCACATTCCCCTCTTCATGGACATGCAGGTAACTCCCAAGGACTGCTTTACCCAGGAATTGTTAGGAAAAACGTCAGTGTTCATTGTAGTGAGTTTGAACATACTGATACTCTACATCAAAATATGCTCTTTGAAACTTAACTGTGGTTTTTCACCTTTCCTAACTTGTAAGAGTTTAGTTTCAAAAGAAAGGTTTTATATCCTCATCTGTTCTGCACATTCTAGTTTGTTACCATATCCATCTTCCACTGTTTCTGGGGGATTCAGTCCTCTTATTTCCTGTAGAAGAACCTGAGATGGAGAATGAAGTAAATTAAAATAAATAAATATATTTCAGTAAATGTCTTGTTTTGAATCTCCTACCATGGTTAATTTGTGCCAGTGATTTAACCGCAGTTCTCATGAGAAGATACATCCTGCTTGTTCCTGTATGCCTCCGGCAGCCCGTCAGCTGTGCCGCGTGCCATCGTATGGTCTCCGTCCACTACTTAGAACAACAAGAGATGTTTAGTATTCTTTTCTTTCTTTACATTACTGCTATTTTTGCCATGGCAGCAACTGGAAAATGCTCATTTCAGAGCAAATGCGCAACTGTTTTTTAGTCATTGAGGTGAAGTGTGTGGAGCTGTATAGAAAAAGAATGATTGTTCAGCCTACAGTAACTATGGATTTTCAGCAAGGATCATGCATGCAGATTCAACAGCTTGCCTGAACAGCATGTTCCCTTGATGCTTTTATTGCTGAGGGAGGTAGGTGATGTGTGATTACATTGTTTTCAATATTTCAAAATGCCAGCAAAGACAGTTGGACTTCAGGTATGGCCTTAATGGGCACCAGTCAGTAGCGTGAAACAGCTTGGACATTGGTGGCACATCATCCACAGTGGAGCGTGTCTGGAAGCACGTCACTGTTGCATCTAAGACAAGTAACTTGTTTTCATTACAATCTGATTTTCCTCCTCCTACATGGCAGTATGTTCTGTAAACACTTTCTGGAGATTGAAACTAAAGAAATGCTGAGAAAGAACAGCAAATTGATAGTAGTTCAGCTTGAAAAAGCCATCTGCTTCCGTTTGCAGACCGTGGCATCTTGAGAGGTGACATCCAGCCTGTTGAAAGGAAAAAGAAGACCAAAGTTATCATTCAGGGATGCCCATGAAATCCTTAACCACTATAAGTTTTCATAAAGCTATTGTCGTATTTGCGTAGGGTGCTATAAAGCCTGGTCATGGAAGCCTGCAAAGTTACTTTAATGACATTCTTTTAATAAAATGGCCCATGATTTTCAAATTAAAATGTTAACAAAATCTTAAAAGTAGTGTATTAAAACCATTGCCTTTTTGCTTCAGCATCTTCGATAAAAGATAGGGTCAAAAATGTGCACAGGGCAATTCCCTTTCACTTCAAACTCTCTTGGTTCTGTTGTGTGTGATTATGATAGTGATAGCTTTGTAAAATTTGGGTTCAGCAAGGCATTTTTCCCGGTAGAGATTCTCCACTTAGTTACATTGTGCTCTTTACTTTGTTCTTAGAGTCAATACATATGTTGGATTTAAAAAATTCTAAATTAGCTGTAGAAACCTTTAACTAAGGTGATGGAGAAAGATGCTCCTCAGATTATGGAAGAAGTGTCCTTGCTTGGCAGATTGCAACAAGATGTTGATGTGATCGTTGCTCAGAAAACAAATACAGAAATGTTCGCAATAGGAATGTTTATATTTTCTTTTGATTTTTTTCCTCTAATTAAAAAATGAAAAATCGCTCTTAGTGGTTTTGATGCTCTGTCAGGCTTTACAAGCTTTTATTAAAGTATGTCACTGTCTTCTAGAAACTAGAGTAACTAATCAGTTATATGTCATCTTTCTTCAGCAGTAATTGTCAAATATTTCCTTTTTTTTTTGTTCTGATGTTACATATGAGATTTAAAACTATTAATTAAAAGGATATCCTTTGTGACCTCCAAGAATAGCCAGTAGAGCATAGGAAGATAAATTACTTGTGAGTTCTCTACCAGTGCTACATTTAGTAGACTTTCCTGGGAAAAATAATTTATTCAAGAGACAAAAGTAGATGAAATTTAGAGTAGAGTCACAAATATTTTCTTAAGAAATATCATGTATGAGATGTGAATTTGAGAACAGGCTGTGATATTTGTTTAGTATTTGAACAGAATCTGTCAATCTGTTTGTTCAGACACATACGCTGATAAGTTACTAAGAAATGCTGGAGCCTCTGCCTGGCCACTTTCGTCTTGAACACCCTCCTCTTAATGCTCGTTCTGAGCCTCTCTTATGAATCAAAGGAACAGCAAGCGTGCAGAGAAATCAGGGAGGCTTTCTATAATGTTTCTGTTTAGAAACCACTCTAAAACAGAGTCCTGTACAGCACTAACCTCAGGAGCTGTTCTTCTGTATGTAAAAGTCCGTGGGTGTGATACAGCACAGTTTGACTGTCAGGCAAACCTGCTTCCTAACGAACACTGATCTGGGCAGATACACTTACTGTCTGAAACAGCATTTGGAGAAGATGCCAGGCAATTTCATATCCTAGAAAGTTTAGAGGAAAAGTAATACTTAAGTGATCTCAACGTTTGAGATGGAAGTACATCCAAACAATTTTGCCCTGAAATCACTTCTGATTCAAGAATGCTTAATGGGTCTGAAGTGTGCTAATTCAGTTTTCAAACTGTATGAAATGAGCTGGGACCTTGGTATAGAAAGCTGCAGCTTGTTAACTTCATGGGAAAGTCACTCTGCTTGTCTAGTCACCCAAACTTGGATTGAATTGACCAGGTTTAGGAATACGGGTTTGAAAATCCTCCTTCTTTTTCTTTCAGAATCAGAGGAAACAAGGTATACATGTATGTTCGTTACTTTTTTTTATCTGTTTGAATCCAGTTCTTAAAATCTCAAAGTTGCAGAGAACAGGCACACTGTACTCATGTTGTAGCATACCTGTCATGAGGTTGAGTTACCATTTAAAGTGAAAAGCTTAAAATCAATAAAAGAAGCATCATCATCTCTATAATTCAGTAAGAAAGAGATTGGTCCTTACAGCTGGATGACTGAAGTTCAGGCTATTTTAAAATTTACTTTCCACAACTGTAAGGTAGCCAGGTTGCTCGCTGGCTTCCAGTGGAGACGTTGTCTCTGCTGGGACCTTTGTCGTGCTCCCATCTGTAACGGCAGCTGGAGGGAGCTGCTTGCAGGCAGCACTGTGGTACTGAGTTAAATTATTCTGCTTTTTTGCTGCAAGTTCACTTCCACCTTCTGGCAGAAAAATGGCTATTACCAAGACCTCTATCTATTTATTATTTTTAGAATTGGCAGAGTATGTAACATACCACTGTAGATCCTGCCCTGGTTATTGGAGCTGCAGTTCATCAGCGTTTCATGTGCGTGGTCCTTGGAGAGTGTGAGAACTGCATATGAGACAGGTGGTGCACAGGGTGCTTCAACATTTTTGGTCATTTTAAGATTTATGTGTGCTGGAAGGCAGCTAATTCTGTAGCAGAATAAAATCTTTAGCTGCTTGTGTTAATATTCAACAAATAGTGTTAGTATATCCTACGTAGAAGACTACAACAACTTTGTCTTTTGCATTTATTTATTTTTACAAATCTCAGAAGCAGGTTTTGCAAAATGGTTCTGGTGTGAGTTTTTGGACTCGTTACCTATCTGATGAATGTCATGTTTTTAGATGATAGCTGAGACTTTCACCTCTCTATTGCCCATGAGGTCCGTTTTTGTATTTTGAAGGGTAGTGGATATACGAATGCTGTGGCTGCATCCTCCTTCCTGTGTCCGGAAAATGTAAAGGGTCATGCCTGAATTATTAACGTTTATGTAAGTGTGTTGATTTACCTAATGGGCAATCATTCTGTGTAACAGCCTCCCTTGAGACAGAGTCATTTCAGGTTCGGTAGTAGCCAACCATAACCCTTGAGCAACCGGGGAATTTACCTTTGCTAACAGAATAAATAGAGTTTCGATCAGCCTTGGTGAATGAGACCATTGCACTAAGGCTTCTCTTATTAAAATTCCTTCAACTACAGCAGATGCAGCAATATTGGGAAATTTTAGGGAAAGTAATAATTCCCCTTCTCCCTGTTGTTGTTTTAAAAGCTTCACCCAGACTTGAATTGAGTAGAAAAACTAATTGCTTTTCATTTTAAAACTACAAGCAGCTCACAAGGGAACTAATTAAAATTCCAGTGTCTGGAAGGAAATATGCCATATAAATCTGAAAAAGTAGTTGCTTAAAAATTAGTAGTATCTCCATACCAGATCTGCAGGCTCAGAAGAGTTCAAACACCCACATACTTAATTTCAAAATTTAAAAACTGTCATTATCCCATTTGCACAGTTATTCTGAAATCCCGTTTTGATCATAATCTGGAAAGTTTGCAAAAGATTGATGAAGATATAAAAAGGCAATGACAGTTCATTGCTTGTTTATAGCAGCATTGGGCAATGGGCGTTTTGTTCAAAAAGATCATCTTGCCACAGTGGGGTTCGTCGGCAGTAAAGCTTGAAAAATGGGAAGGCAAAGACCAAGGTTCCCATCAAAACCGGCAGCGTTCCGTGCTTTGTTAGACCCAAGAAAAGGCCTCGCTCCTGCTGCATTTCCTCCTGACCTAAAATGCTCCATCAGCTTTCTGCTAGCAAGCGACTAGCGACCCTAACCCTAGCCATGTGCTGCTGCTGGGAGACGTGTGTTTATGCACCAGTGAGTTGTTCACTCTGTGGCTATCACAGCCTTCTCCCAGCTTGCTCGTAAGCTTGCAGTGCCATCTAGACTGTCAAATCGCTCAGTCTTCTCTTAGTTGAAAAGCAGCAGAACGTCTCTGTTTTTCCACTGTGACCATAAGAATTAAATGAGTACAAGCTTAATAAATGAAGCACCAAAAATCATCTAGTTATTGATTTCTGATCACTCTCTCCCCTTCCCACCTGGGATATACTGGGAATGCGTAAATGATATGCAGGATTAAGGGAAGACTTGCATTGTGTTATGTTACACTGTGAGCTCGTTAGTTCTTAACTAACAATAGAGGAGGAAACCAAGCCAAAGGAAGTCAAACCTGTTGCTCAAACCCTTTGTTTTTAATTTAGTCTGCTCTTGAAGCAGATTGTGGAGTGGTCTGGAATTCACTTACCTCTCCAGTTCTCTCATCACCCCTTGACACATGTGAGCTCAGCCTGGGGCTGCTTTAATCTCAACCAGCTGCTGTTTTCCCCCCCATAGCCTTGCTGGCCAGATGCAGCTGGCTGGGCTGTGCTGCGCCGTGGCCATCCTCGTGCCGCAGGCGGCATCGGCGTGTTCTCTCTCACCTCTTCCCTGCCTGCCCCAGCACGCGTGCCAGCTGGGCACACACCCTGCTCACAAGCAGTTGCGGGGAGATGCTGCTGCAGATTTTCATGAACCATTTGTATAGCTGAAGTGTGAGCGAAGGTTACCTTCAGCTGAGCACAGTGCTTGCATTCCATTTCTACGCAGTGTAACAGTTAAGGTGTATGAGTTACTTGGGTTGAAATGAATGTAGCTTAATTACAAGCTTCAGTACAGTGCTGGATGGGACCGTAACCTCACAAACAGAGCTGGCCTGGGGGCCGAGCTGGGGTCCTAGTACTGCATCTGAAATGGAGACAAGTCCTCTGCAGATGCCTTGTCATTGATGCTTGGCTTTTGAAATAAATCCATTTCATATGGGATCTAAATTTGCAAATATTTCTGATGGCCACAGTTGTTCCCCTTGCAGTGTATTGCTTGTCCAGTATCTATTTAGTTTTCCTGCACTTATTTTCATGTTATTTTATTGTCTGTGTACAAAGAAATTGCTGTTGGCGTATCTTTAGTATGTGTAGTCTCCCTTTTGTGCTTGTATCAAGGATCTGAGAGAGCAAACCACTTAAGAATATGCCCAATAGAAGGAACACTCGCTGACATGAAGCTTCTGATTCATCATAACTTTCAAAGGTTTCTGCAGTTAGTCTGTAAATGATTCTGACTCTCAGAAGGGCTTTCTATGAAATGGTTGCTTTTTACTTTGAAATAAAGTACATTACAATGTACCACTTACCAACCATATACTTACACATCATCTGACAAAGCCCAGAGAAAGTGTTCTTGTGCCAAGTGCAAATTAAGTGTTATTTTTTTCCTCACTGTATAAACTCACTGGAATTTTCATTTTTGTGGTAGAAGTATTATTTCAGAGAAGTGGTAGTTAGGGTGAATGCTGATACGTTATAGCCTGATCATCTTACATATGTATACTCCTTTTATTATCACGTGCAGTTCCTTTGGTATATCTTTTTTTTCCTCAGTGCATTTTGCATTCAGCCTGGATATACATTGTGAAGAAATACTTTCTTACTATTTATTATTCCTGAAACTGTTATCAATATGATTTCTAAATCATGTTTTTCATTGAGAAGTGTTAGGAAAAGCTTGTGTATACAAATTATGGCAAAATATTAAGAGACTATATTGTGTATGGTGTTACATTACTTATCTGAGAGTAAGAAAGAAAATGAACACCTTACATTATTTTAAAAGGAGGGAAAATACAGCTAATCAGTATCAGAAGATTTCTTTAGGAAACTGATGCTCAAATGATCAAAGACTCAAAGCTCCACGTTGTCAATTATTTGTGACTACAACTTGCTAATGAAAGTCTTTCTGCACAGTGAAAACTTACTCTGTTTGTTGCAAATGTGAATGAAATGTTTTTGGGTGTTTTTTTTCTTTTTATTTTCTTGAACAGGTAGCAGCCCTTTGGACAGTCCCAGGAACTTCTCCCCCAGTGCACCTGCTCATTTTTCCTTTGTTCCTGCCCGAAGGTAAGGCAGGATCTATTCTGTTTGGACTGGCAAGCAAGTAGTCCTCATACTTTCCTTTAGAAATGGCCTATCAGTTAGAAGTTTTTTGATCGTGTTTTACTTTCTCAGAGGTTTCCGTTTTTATTTTATTTTATTAATTTTTGTTTAGATCTTGACAGCACCCAGAATGCATTAGGTGCTTTTCAGACATAGAAAAAGATATAATAAATAAAGCAGTCAATTAATCAGAGTAGTCAACTCCTAGGGAGGAGGCAACGTTCTCCCAGAAGGATGGCATATAGGACATGTAATATAACAGATAATTAGTCATAAAGACATTAAAATCAGTTATGATTAAGATAATCGTATCTTAGTTGTAGTCCTAGATGCTCTTCTCACTGAATAACTGAGGTGTATTCTGAATGTGCTGATCTTCTTTGCTATGCATGCACAAAGATGTAAACATACCTAAAATTAGGTGAGCGCAGCTGTGTGTGCATTCGTTCGCTGCCTGCTGACTGGTGGCAACTTTTTAGTTTTCGCTACTGTCTTGGGCATTGGTGTCAAGAGTACATTATTGCTCTAATGAGGAAAACAGCTGATAATTGAAATTGCAAGTCTACAAGAACCTCGAGAAGAGCAGCAGCGTTGAGCGACCTGAACTTGAAGCTAGCATATCTCCTGGAGTGAATGCTAGACAAATGCTCATCACGCTGTGTATCAAACTGGTGGAAAGAAAGCTCATACTGTAGTGATGAATTTAGTGTAAGGAACAGGATAGAAAGAATAGACAGCTGGGAGAAGCAGACAAATGGTGTATTGAATGTTGTATCCCAGCAGGTAGGCAGAAATGGATAATGATATGGAAAGTTAAATTTTTGTGGAGAAATAAAGAACAGGAAAGAAAGAGAGATCCCAACTGGAGTTTAGGCATAGTAGCAGGATTATTCGATTCAAGTGTGGGGAAGATATTTTGGATTTCTGAAACTCTGCCTCGGTTGAAAAAAACCCAGTCTGTGTTAAAATGCTCTGAGAATGGGAAATGTGTGACCATCCTGAGAGGAAGGAAGTTTTCTGAGAACAACGGATTTAGCTTGAGGACTAGTTGGAAAGAGGATAGGTCTCAAGACTTTGAAGAAGAATAAAGGGTGAGGATTTAATGAAAGAAGCTACACCCTTTGTCTGAGTGGCAGGTAAATCCTGGAGTGTTTCTCCACTGAGATGATTTGCTAGAAGACCTGGTGTCCTTGAATACTGTTTGAAGTAGACTTTGGTCTTCAGGTCTTACGTAAGAAAAAAGGGTATAATGGTGCATGAAATGTGACAGACTGGATATGTATTTTCCTGTTGCTACAGAGGGAAAAATTAGTGGTTTACCTCCTGGTAAAACAATTCGCATGGACTCACGGGATCCACCTTTAATTTTAAATAGTTATCTGAGCCTGATCTGGGTGCATTCAGTAAGTTCTGTTGAAGTCAACTGAATTTTTACCAGTTTTCACAATATCTGGAGTTCTGGACCCTGGAACACAGGAGGAAAGTTGCAGCTGAAACCATTGTCAAAACTTAACATAATTTTTCAAGATTATGTTTCAACTTGATGTTTCAGTACCATTGCTTTCTAAAATTTCAAGCAGCAATTGAATGTTTAATAACAAAACTCTGATGAGTTCCCTGTCATACTTTACACTTTTTTCATATAATTTTTTAAAGAAATAGATGAATAAGGGTTAAGTCTGTCCTGTCGAATACTGTGGTTTATTTTACAGTATGCATGTTGCTCTCTATACTTTTTCTGTCATGGAAAAGAATGCTAAAGCACAGCTTGTTGTAGAAACTTGTTTCTATTTTCTACTTACATTACACCCTGAATAGCTATACCAGCAGTACCAATATGTATTTATTAGATTGTCACATAGTGGTATCAGAATAGCTTCTATATTATGCGATTAAGTAATTGCAAGTGTGGTGGTCTGTTACCCCAGACATGCAGATATTTCACTGCACTCTTTTGATTGGTGTTGTGTGTGTCTTAAGACATGGTTCTCACCTGATTTCCTCCCGTTGCCATCACAGAAATGAAATGTTGCTGATTTTCTGCCTTTTGTATTTGGTGTAATTTCTTCATTTTTTTATCCTGTTTGGACATCGTTTGTGATTTCCATTATTTCATTATAGCCCTGTGATGAGCTGATTCTTGGGACAGAGTAGGAAACACATTTGGAAAACTCATTTTATTGTAAAGCCAATTTCACTACAATATGCTGCAAGACTGTCCTTAGTGTGACTAGCGATTAATCATAAATCCCTTGCTCGACACCCTTTAGATGGCTGTGTCATAGCCACAAAGTTAGCGTGTTCAGGAATCCTCCTGTTTGAATAAGGAAATGTGTGGTTAGTTCTGTCCGTGTTCACTAAAACTGATCTTAGTGGAATACCAGTAACAGAAGATGAGGATTTTTTCAGAAATCACGTGTGCATCTTTTACTTCTCCTTCTCTCATTATCGTTGTACAATTTCTCCCGTACAGCCACGGACACAGAGCGGACAGGTAATGTGTGTCGAATTGCTGCTGGTTGTGTGTGTGCACGATCTGTGCTTCTGTGCAGCTGAGCCTGTGTCCCTAACAAGTTCGTCCTGTAGTAACCCCATTTAGGCATTCAGCTTCTATTCTTTGGTGATCAAAACAGAAATCTTTGCATTTTGGCTTAAAATGGTAAACAGGTAGTGCTCTGGAGAAGATGTGGTGTTCTTCCAGCACCTTCTTGTTTTGAAATTGATCTACTGTTCAATGAATAGTAGTTAACTTTCATAAAAATACCTCCTTAATTAACCAATTAAAATGTCATTTTAAAGGCAAAATTTGCTGGTTGCTTGTTTTTATTGTGCTAGCAAAGGGTTCTATAATAAATAAAATACCTAAAAATTTCTTTCCAAATATCTTTTCCTGAAGCAATATTGCATGAGGTCTCTATAAAAATATGTTTGTTAACAGAACACTGAAGTAACTTTGAAATGTTTTGCATAAATGAAGGAGGAACTTTCTTTTAGTCTTCCTCCCATCACCTGTGATTTGGAAGATTTCTACTCTTGTCCCACTGCTTTCTGCTAGGCTAGAGCTGATATGTGTTGTCCCGACTGCTTAGCACATCGCTTGCCTAGATTGCATCAGCAGAAAATAGCCCAAGCATGAAGAGGTATCCTGTAATTTTCTAATTGAGAAAGGTGTTTGGTTTGTTTTTTTTAACTATGACAAAATGAAAATTCTGGCGTAATTTCAATACATAATTTAGGCAACTCAATAAAAAAGGGATTAGGCTTTCCTTTTGCAACAACTGAGTGACTTGTGCATTCCTGTCTGCTGTTTGAGAAGACAGGAGCATACTGTCTTGGTCTGGGACTGAGGGTCCAAACTGAGGTTGAGTCGTTGACCTAAATATTTCCCCAGTACCCCTGAATGTTACAAGAAGCTGAATGAAGAGCACTGAAGTTCAGTCACTGACCACATCGTGCAGCAGCTTTGTAATGCTGACATTTGTTGGTTTTCAGGGTTAAGAAAGGGATTTCATTTGTCTTGGAATTTTTTGAGTTTGTTCTTTTATATGTAATTGTCTTGCCAAAGAAGGCATCACCTGTGGCTAAATGGGGTTTAGCTCTGACATACGCATGCAATAGAAGTCTGCATTACAGCTGGATTTTTTTTTTTTTAATGCATGAAGCATGAGTCTGTTAATCTTTAAAAAAAATCTTTTGGCATAATATTCTTTCAGTGATGTAGAACAATGGGTTTATTTCCCTCTCATTCTAAGATAGATGGCAAAGAGGAGCGGCATGTATGAGTGCTTGAAAATAAAAGGAACTAGATCTGGAAAAAATGTAGCCCGGCATTTATGTCTGGGTGTGCACTGAACGTTTTTCTGAAGATGAGGCTTCATGGGTGTGGATAGTGGGATGAGAAATATTACTGTGAAGATGATAACATTTGAGTTTTTTATAAGCACTTAGCACTATTTCAGACCTGTACCAAACATCCTGTTTTATAATGCGCTTGCATCAATGTACTGTATGTACATTTGGTACTGTAGTGTACAAAAAATACCCAAATCTTTCCAAAGTAAGTTACCATGATGAACTGTTCTAATTCAGCTTCACTTTATCACCAATTACTGTTTATCTCCTGTAATAAAAGGAACGAGCAAATGGAAACTGATGTAAGGAAGAGACTGCTTTGATATCCACCCCATCGTGCAACAGGATGCATTTGCCCGTTATAGGACACAAAATGCGTGTGAGACTGAAATGAAATCTGAGGCAGAAAAAGCGCCGTGAGACTGAGCGGAATGTAGTTCAGTTTCTGTCCTCACCATGGCGGGTTTTAGGGGGAGAAGAGGGTTTCAGGGAGAGCAATACTGATTCTTCTCAAAGTGGTTATGGAGTTCCTCATTTCTGACATTGATAAAACAGGACCTTTCCTGCAGTACCTGCGGGATGTTTTGGCTGTTTTTGCTCAGGGAC